GGGGAGGGGAGGGGAGGGGAGGGGAGGGGAGGGACTTCCCAGTGCCGCCAAGCTTTTCTGAAGCCTTCCACGTAACTGGTTCTATACAAAGCACCAGGCACAGGATGCAAAGCCGCCTGGGAATTTCACCACTGTTTCAGTGCCAAATTCAGGCATCTGCTGCCACTTCTCCTCCTGTACTCTTACCTGGTGCACTCTGGGCAAACCGCGCCTCCTGGATGACGGCAAGTTTGGGCTGTGCGGCACCAGGCTCAGGCTCCACGGGGGCTGGAGAGCCCTCCCTCGACAGGCTCTCAGGGGTCTGGGCGCCACTGGAGTGAGCAGACAACACTCCTGCATGGTTGGGAGAGGCTGGGGCACTCCTGGGTCACCAAAAGAAGACAGTGGGTTTTCACAGTGATGCCCTGGAAAGGAGTCCTCCATCCATCTCACTTTGTAAAGGGGAGGGAGCCTTCTGTCTCCTGCCAACTGAGTACACCTTTCCCATGCATGTCAGAGGCCGCTCAGTTCCATGAAAAGTCTGGCACCTCCCTGAGCAGTTCCTGGGCAGCCAGTCAGCAGGACTCAGCAGTGTGCAGACTGTGGGGCCTTAAGGCTTGTAGTAAGCTCATTTCTTTCCCATTAAAAACAGTGTCAGTAAGTTAAAAGTATCTTGTTTTAAAAATCAGGCAAATGAGAAATCTTGAGTTTACAGAACTGAAGGTGGCTTTAAAGAACTGTTTATGTGCCAAAGAAAGGAAAGGAAAACACCATGTGCCCACGACCTTGCCTACTGGGGTCTAATTTCTCTAAAATGAGCATCAAGTTCAAGGAAACAGCAAGCAATACAGATGGAACACATGACAGTAAGAAACAGAAACATGACCAGCCTTTCCCCAGTTCCCCACCCCAATGCCAGCAAGGGCACCACAGGCCTTCATTTTTGGGAAGAAGCTCTGCCAGCACACTGAGGTGTTATTACTGACCGTGGGTGCGGCCTCTGGTCCCTGTGTCCTTACCTAGAGGAGAGCGGTCCCAGGGGGGTTCTAAAGCAAGGCACGCCCCTAGGCCGTCTCTTCCTAAAAGCCTGCTCTACCAGCTTGCTCTCGGAGGCAGGATCTATCCTCCAGAAGGAGCCTTTGCCTGGTTCTTCCTGGGAACGTGGCACTTTGATGAAATAACGGTTCAGAGAGAGATTGTGGCGAATTGAATTCTATGAAACATAAAAAAATATGTAGAATTCATATAATTCTTTGTTGAGAAATGAAGATGAGCCCAAGCCTTAGTGTCCTGTAAAGCAGAAACCTAGATGCTCAATGCAGACACAACAGTGAGGCTTCAAGGCCCAGCCCGCCCTGGCTGAATGAGACTGCTCTGGGTTGGAGCCTTTGTGGCCTCAACTCAGGGAATCTCAGGAAGAGAGGGGACCTGGGCATGGGAAGGGCGAAGGCTCTGCAATCTCCCATTTCTACCCCATTTCAGGCAGGACACAGACCTGTCACTGCCTCCTTGACTTCTGTCAGGTGGAGTCAATACTAAATCGCCAACTCTTTCTGTTTGAAGACAAATAGCTGACACAAGCCACTCCTTTAAAAAATGCTTGTTATTTCATGTTTTTACACATAATTAATTAGCTGACAGAGTCTGCCATGCCATGTAAAGTATATTAGTATAGTATAAAGTATTTATTTTGCAAGTCAGCAAAGACCAGGAGTTATAACTGACTCCACCTTCCAGTTAAGTGCTTGGCTCTGTATTTTCGAAGTATATCCATGTGTTTATTTCATCTTCATCAAACTCCATCAAGGAAGCAGGAAAACAAAACAAAAACAAAAACAAAAACCCCTAAGCCATTATTCTTTCTTCTTCAAAAAGTTCAGCTTCAGGTTTTCCAAGAGTCTGAAACAGTGCCTGTTGTGACCTGAATGTGACCACACCACTGAAGTACATACAGGATGAAAAGTCATGAATTAACAGCTATTATATTCTTAGACCTTTGAGTATATTTAAAATAAAAATTCCAAAATGGTAATAACTCAAAATAAAATCCGGGGATATCCAAAAATCCCTAATTTTCTCAATTCCCTATTAACCTTCTAATAAAACTAACCATGGCATGAAGTTCTGACTTGTCTAATAAATGTTCAGCATTACTTTATAATCAATCCCAGGGAACTGTTCCAGAATCAACTAGTCCCAGGCAGGAAACAAGGCCTCTGACTATTCAGTGAACTGAGGGACATCTTGTGCAGAGTGAAGGGGCCTGGCTGTGTCTGACTGGATGAGGCTTACAATACTGCAACAAACCAAGATATGTGCTGTGATGTTTTGTTATCAGGTGTTGCTGACAACCAACCTTTCTTCCAATTCCAGAAAATCAAAGGGTTAGGACTGTTCTTGGTGCCCATCATACACAGAAGGCAAACCTTCACCAGCCGCATTCAGACCTTTCAGGTTTGGAGGAGAGGCAGAGTCAAAGGCTGTATGTTAAGAGAAGCAACCCAGACAAAGATGACACAGGCGCAATACCCCTAATTCAAAAACCCCAAATCACCAGGCATGGTGGCACATGTCTTTAATCCCAGAACTCAGGAGGCAGAGGCAGGCGGATCTCTGTGAGTTCAAGGCCAGCCTGGTCTACAGAACTAGTTCCAGGACAGCCAAGACTACACAGAGAGACCCTTGTCTCAAAACCCAAAAGAATAAACCAAAACAAAACAAAAACCCAAATCCAAAACACTAAGGGCAACATGATGCTCCAGTAGAAAATACACACTTGACCTCATGTGTCAAACTGCCATCAAGCATGGGCACACTAGAAATATTACATAAAATTACCTTCAGACTTTGCACAAGAAAAAATAACAAATGAATATCATGTTTAAGTTGGTTCTTTCCCCCAAGATACTGTGGTATGCACAGGCAAATATTCCAAAATCTGAATCATTCTGAAACCTGACAACAGATAAAGCCAGTCAACTTAAAAAAACTCTACCTGAAAAGGGAGATCCTTGCAGATGCCTGTACGTAAGCAGTTCCCTGTACTGAATTGAAGACTCTCACACTTAGATCACAAAGCCGCAGAATAGAGGATACTCACTCCACAGACCCCAGATACACTAGCCCATGGGAACAACTTAGTCTGCATGTTATTAGCATAGTGGGGAAATAGAAGCAGTAACTAGGATTTCCATCCACCATGAGCCCTGAAAGCTCCACTCATGGAGCATTTGGGATCAGGGAACTGGTACTTTCATTTTCATAGTATTTACAGAGTCCACCTAGTCTAGGTCTCCTTCCTCACCACCCTTGTCCAGAGAATCTGCAGACAGTGTGAGATCAAATTCATAAATGGTCACCTACAATCTCCAAGCCAACACTCTACAAATAGAAGTGACAAGACACTTAGTTCAGAGACAAACAGGAAAGCACCCATTCTCCTTATAATTTTAGGTGGTCAAGCCTAAGATTAATACGCCTTCAATCTGTTCTTACAAGTATGAAAATCCTAATTGATAGACTTGGGTGACCTATAAATCAGTGTAATCTTGAAAGCAATTCTTTGTCTTTCTTCAATGCTACACATAAAGAACAACTAAAACAAGCAATGTTCAGCTCTGAGCCTGCCTAGTAGGCTTCCGTCCTAGATTAATGCCTGAGCTCCTGATCCCACCACTCAGTGAGATCTCATCTGATGGGAACCCCAAACTAGCTCTGGCCCTCAGTCTTTTCATACTTTTTTTTATAGGTACAGTAAACATCCATCCAGGCTGGGTAAAATTATAAGTAATTATTTTGGAGGCAGGCAGGATAGTGCATTTGTAACCCCAGCTATTTAGAAGGCTTGAGGCAGGAATACCACAAGTTTGAGACCAGCATAGGCAACACAAACAAAAGAGACAAATATTCTTTCTATACAATCACTCAAACTGCTCCATTTCATGGTAGAATTTCCTCTGTAAATTAACAGAAAAGCTGTGTCAATGAGCAGATCCTGTAATATCCTACAAGTTAGACTGAAAGACAACCCTCTGGACACAGGGCTTTTAACACAATGCTAGAATAGCACTCAAGTGGAAACCCACTTCTGTGCCTGTGTGTATGGGGCCAGAAAACAGCCTTGAGGTTCATTCCTCAGGAGACAAACACATTGGTATTTTTTGAGACAGGGTCTCTGATAGGCTTGCCAAATAGGCCAGGCTGCCTGGCCAGTAGGTCCAAGGGAGATGGGTGCCGTCTGTACTCACTCCCTACCGCCTAGATCTTTAAGTGGATTCTGCGGATGGAAATCTTTGTGCACAAGTTGTAGCTGTTGATGTTTTTTAAACAACTGATTTATTTCTCCAGCCCTGGAAACCCAATTTTCTTAAGCAGGCTGTTCTGTTGAGAGGTCTCCCCACTCCCATCAAGGAAATGTCAGAGCAAGGGCTGACATGGAGAAAGTTAAGTGATAGACTTTAGAAAGGCAGCTGGGCTCTCAAGGCAGAAAGAGACCAAATGAATGTGAATATCCCAAAGCCAAGGATAGGAGCAAGTTAAAAACGCATGCCCACGAGCTAAAACAGACTGCGGAGCAGGCAATCCCTCTCCCACTAAATTATCTGGAGCCAAGAGGCATGAAACATTCCTGGAACAGCCACACTCAGGTGAGAGGTGCAGTCATCTTTATGAACCTTCATCTGTACAGAGAAGAACATGTCTGAGTAAGTAACAGCAATTCAACAGTGAAGGCACTCTTACAGTCACACCATGCTTCCCTGCCTTTAGCAGTAGTGAAGTCACTGGCAGTTGCCAGCCAGCAAGACTCAAATCCAGGGTCATGTCCCAAATACTCATCTTACAGCACAAGTTGGCCTTGCCCTTCCAGGCTCTTCTGCAAGAAAACCTCATTGCTCAGAGATCCCTCAGGGCAATATATACCAGAAACACACAGACATAACCAACCACACTGAAGTCTTATGCAAGCTTTCAGAAATACGTGAACTGGTATTTCAAATAATCAGAATTTTGAACGTAAAAAAAAAAAAGGGGGGGGGGAGCTGGAGAGGTGGCTCAGAGGTTAAGACACTGACTGCTCTTCCAGAGGACCCGAGTTCAATTTCCAGCAACCACAACCACCTGTAATGAGATCTGGTGCCCTCTTCTGGTGTGCACGCATGCAGGTAACTGTATCATTTATAAACAAACAAACAAACAAATAAATATCTTAAAAAAACAAAAAAACATAGTCCTTAAGGACCTTCAGATGCTCACACTGACTGTATTCCATGGTCTCCTACGGAATAAAGTCAGTATTCCTTAGGACTTTTAAAAATCATCAATCATAGTGTTTGAAGGACAACTTCAATCTGTGGGCGCCAGGAAAGTGCTGACCATCAAACCTAGGACAAGCTGGGCAATTATTCTATTGGTGAGAAACATCGAGTCCACAGCCTATTCTCAGATTAAAAAATAGTCCATACAGCTGGAATTTAATATGTACTATGTTAAGGCCCTTGACACAGAATAGAATATGGCAATGTTCTCCAAATCCAGGGACTTCCTGGGGATTAGCACAGCTTGTGTACACCAGGAAAGGAAGGCTGGGAGACGAAGGTTTTCCTTTTCACTTTCTGTGATTACAGATCCCTTAAAATTCAATGCCAAGGACCTAGTTTTGCCGTGTTTGTACATATGCAAGTAAAAGGAGTTTTTAGAGCTGAGCATGGTAGCACACACCTTTAACCCTAGCACCCAGGAAACAAAGGCAGAAAGATCTCTGTGAATTCAAAGCCAGGCTGATTAATAGTCTTCTACAGCAGAATAAAATTTTCAAGTGTTTTTTTTTCCCTTTCAATAAACCACCCCACATACACCCACATTATATCCTCCACTGAACATTTAAAAAGAATTACCTTTACTCATCAAATCAAAGCCTCAATAATGCTGCTGTCATTTTTGGTTATTTTATGAATTAAAAAAAAAAAAACCCACAATAAATCTCTTTTATTGTTTTGTTTGCTTGTTTGCTAACATTCTGCATTCCAACTTACCCTTTCCCAAATCACCTCAACTTTGTAAATTTTCTACACATCTAGTAAATGGCAACACAGAACTGATACAGAGAAAAGCCTGTGCTGCTTATGATTTAAAACTTACAGGGAGGTGGTGCATACCTTTCACCCTTCCACTTGTGAGGCAGGGCCAGGCAGATCTCTGTGAGTTCAAGGCTAGCCTGGTCTACATAGTGAGTTCCAGAAGAATCAGAACTACATAGTGAGACCCTTTCTCAAAAAACAAACAAACAAACCAAAAATCAAAACCTACACAAACAACAACAAAACCATGCAGGGATCCCCAGCCCCAGAACAGCAACACTGTGAAGGTTCCTGAGATGGGTAGAACTCTGCAACTGTTCATCTCTGTACTATATACAGGCCACGTATAAAAACTACATTCTAAGGAAAAAGTTAGGATAACTTTATGCATCCCAGATAACAAAAGCATCAGTTTCAGTTTTCTTCACAACTGCTACTCCTTCTGTACATAAGAGAAGGGCACTGTGGGACTCCCTCCTCTAGTGACTTCTGGGGTGACATCCTTACTGGACAAGCAGGAGCTGCAACACACAGGATGAGAGAGAGCAAGCTGAAATGGACTTACCTGCCAGCCCTTGTCCGCAGTCCTGTAATATGGGTAGTTCTTAGTGATGTGCGTATAAATTCCATTTAGGGTGAGCTGTTTATCAGGAGCCATTGTAATTGCCTGTACTATCAACTGTGCATAGGAGTAAGGTGGCTTTGAGTCATCCTGTGTTAGAAAAAAAAAAAGCATCTAAGATTCAAGGGTATTCTTTTATACGCTCTTGCAACAGTGTTGTTGTTTTCCGAGACAGGGTTTCTCTGTAACCCTGGCTGTCCTGGAACTCACTCTGCAGACCAGGCTGGCCTCGAACTCAGAGATCCGACTGTCTCTGCTTCCCAAGTGCTGGGATTAAAGGCGTGCACCACCATCACCTGGCAACAATTTTAAAAGTAATATAATGGGGAAAATTTGAGAAAAGTAAATGGAAAACTACATGTAGAGTAGCATAGAAAGATTAAAAACCACTAAGGAGCCAGGAGTGGCGCACACCTTTATTCCCAGTACCGAGGAGGCAGAAGCAGACAGATCTCTGAGTTTGAGGCCAGCCTGGTCTACAAAGAGTTTCAGAACAGGTAAAGGTATTACACAGAGAAAAGCTATGGGGAGGGGGGGTAACCCAGGCATGACACAGGACTCGGGACACCACATAGGAGAAAATTTAAATGACAGGAGCAAAAAATAAAACTGATCAAAGCCAGACCACATGGTGGCTGACAGCCATCTGTCATGAGATCTGGTGCCCTCTTCGGTCATACAGGTATACTCAATAAAACTGTGTGTGTGTGTGTGTGTGTGTGTGTGTGTGTGTGTGTGTGTAATAAATAATTGTTTTTAAAAAAGAAAGCAATCTGCAAAAGACTATATTCAAATGATACACTCATTCAGAGCACATATTCAATATAAGGCCTGGATTTGATCATCAGCACTGCAAGGATGCATATTGTTCACATATATTTTTATTTACTTGTTTAATGTGGGTATTTTACCTGCATGTATGTCTGTGTACTGTGTGCATGCAGTACAATGTAGGACAGAAGAAAGTCAGATCCCCCTTAGAATAGTATGTTAGCTACAATGTGGGTGTTAGGATTTGAACCCTTGTGCTCTGGAAGAGCAACTAGTATTCTTAACTGATGAGCTATGGCCGGGCATTGGTGGCGTACGCCTTTAATCCCAGTACTCGGGAGGCAGAGGCAGGCGGATCTCTGAGAGTTCAAGGCCAGCCTGGTCTCTAGAGCGAGTGTCAGGATAGGCTCCAAAGCTACACAGAGAAACCCTGTCTCGAAACCACCCCCCCCCAAAAAAAACAAAAAAAAAAAGCCTGCTGAGCTATGTCTCCAGACTTCCCCAACCCTGACTTTTATTTTTAGATTTTCCATAGCTTTTAAACAAACCATTATTGTGCTACATAGTAAGCTTAAAGTCAGCCTAAAGAATACAACCCTATCTAAAAAACCAAAACAAGAGCCAGGTGTTGGTGGCTCAAACCTTTAATCCCAGCACTTGGGAGGCAGAGGCAGGTGGATCTCATTGAGTTTAAGGTCAGCCTGGTCTACAGAGTGAGTTCCAGGACAGCAAGAATGGTCCCACATAGAAACCCTGTCTTCACAAAAAACAAAAACACAAACAAACAAAAAACCAAGAATAAGAACACTATCTCACTAGAGATGCACTTAGGGCTAAGGGCAAAATCAGAAGGCATAAAGCAACAGAGCTGATGAAGGAGAAGACAGCTGTGTCCTCGGAGCTGATGGTACAGATTTGTCAATTCTCCAGATGGAAAACCTTAACCATCCAACCAACGCCAGCATCCAGAAAGCTCCCACAGCCCACTTTAAATGGCTAACCTCATTTTGCTATCACTTAGGCCACAAAAGGCTCTGGCTAAGCACGTGAGCACACTCCTAGGTTCCAGGTAAAGAACCAGGGATAACAAGAACCTAACCGAGTCTGAGATGTGGCTGAACAGTTGTCCTTTACCATGTCAATGACTCAAGAGGTTCAAGTCTCCATCCCTGCCCAAATGGCCAATGTATTTCCTAGGGCTTTTTCTTACATCTCTAAGGGTGTTTGCATTTGTTCCAGGAGTCAGTTCTCTTCTATATGTTATGTGGGTCCCAGGAATCAAACTCAGATCTTCAGGTTTGGTGACAACTGCCTTTATCTGCTAAGCTATTTTGTTGGCCTTAAAAATGCTGTTTTTGTGTTTTTAGAAACAATGTCTCACTATGTACCTCCAGTAGCCTGAAATTTACTATATAGACTACAATGGTCTTGAACTCAGAGATCCTCCTGCCTCTCCCTCCCAAGTGCTGAAATTAAAGGCATACAGCACCATACTGAGCATAAAAATATTTTTATTTTTAAATAATTTAATATAGAAAATACCCAAACAGATGAAACAAATTTTGCAAAGTGAGCATTAAATATAGCCAGTACCCAGCAGCTCCTGCATGGCTTTAGTCTACAACTTCTAAGTCACAAAGACCACTATTAGTTCTGGCGATATAGTCACCACTTTTCTACTGTGATGTTTCAATCCACCATCTAAGATTGCCTCTGTGTGCACGAGGTACACAGCCATGACCTGCTCACTCCATGGCACTGTTGTGTTCTTTGCGAACATGTCAAAAATATAATGGAAGTAACAATATGTACAGACTGTTCTTTTTCTTAATACTGCAACAACAACAACAGCCTTTCTGTGTTACTACCAATTTCTTATATTCTGCTACACTGTGCCTACAGTTGCCCTGGGGTCCTCACATGTGTTTAAGGATTTAGAAAATACACTACAAACCATGATACTTACAGCATATTCAGAATTACACCAGAATTAAATCCATATAGATGCCTACTTCACCGATGTGGTGTACTGGTTAACTTTTGTCCACTTGACATAAACTAGGATCAATGGGGAAGAGGGAACCTCAATTGAGGAATTGCCCCTATCAGATTAGCCTATAGGAATATCTGTGGTGCATTTTCTTGATTAATTATTGATGTGAAAGGGGCCAACACACTGGCAGCAGTGCCACACCTGGGCAGTGACTCTGGGCTGTAAAAGCATGCAAAGAAAGCCAATACGCAGCACTCCTCTCACAGGCTCTGCTTTGGTTCCTGCTTCCTGCCCTGACTTTCCTCAGTAATGGACCATTATATGAAAGCATAAGGCAAACCCTTTCCTCCCACAAGTTGCTTTTGGTCAGTGTTTTATCACAGCAACAGGGAAACTGAACTAAAACAACATGGTATTCCTAAAAGGACTTGTCACACAGGTTATCAATGTCTACCTAACATTTCCCCAGGCCCAGTTACAAGACTATAGACATTTACCTTTGGGCTGTCTCCACCTGAAGCTTCTTTTTCATTTTCTGGCTGTGAATTGTCAGCCATTAAATTGAGGTCAGATGGTATCACACGGCCCATTTTGTACCCTGAAGATCCTGCTCCCCGGGGACTGGATGGGCAGGAGTTTGCAGCACTGTGAAAGAGAGGGGGAAAGTCTACTTTACAGCAAACATAGTATTGTTCTTCAATATAATCTGAGATTAGGGAAAACAAACATTTCTTTTTCTAAGATTTATTTATTATTTATTAGAATGTTTTGCCTGCATGTATGCTATGTGGGTACCTAAAGGAGGTCAGGAAATGGTGTTGGATCTCCTAGAACTGGAGTTACATTTCTCCAGTGCCAGTTATTCTTGAGACAGACCATCATTCTGTACTGCAAGTTGGTCTTAAACATGCAGCAATTTCTGGCCTTAATTTCTGAAGTACTGAAATTGTAAATATCATGTCTAGCTAAACTGGGAAAAAAGTAAAACAAAAGTAAAAAAAAGCTGGGCCGTGGTGGCGAACATCTTTTAATCCCAGCACTCAGGAGGCAGAGGCAGGTAGCTTTCTTTGAGTTCGAGGCCAGCCTGGTCTACAGAGTTAGTTCCAGGACAGCCAGAGCTACAAGAAGAAACCCTGTCTCAAAACAAACAAACAAACAAACAAACAAACAAACAAACCAACAACAAAAACGAACAAAAAATGAGAATAGCAGTATTTCCTAAGGGGGAAAAAAGTATTCCTAAGAATTCTCAGTGGGAGGCTGGAGAGATGGCTCGTTGCTTAAAAAGCACTGGCTGCTCTTCCAGAGGACCCGAGTTCGATTTCCAGCACCCGTAAGACAGCTCACAGCTGTCTGTAACTTTAGTTCTAGGGGTCTGACACCTTCACACCAATACACGTTAAATAAATTATAAAAAGAAAAAAGAATTCTTTGTGGTATTTAAGATTGCTTTAAGTCAAAATATGTCAGGGAAAGCAACTCTCAATACAAATTGTGAGAAGACAGTGCCCCATTTATTCTACCAGAGAAAACAAACCATCACAGCCAACAGGAACTTAATTTTCTCTAAATTTTATGTGCATCGGTGTTCTGCCTGTATGTATGTCTGTGTGAGGGTGTCAGATCCTCTGGAGTTGGAGTTATGAACACTGAGCTGCCGTGTAGATGCTGAGACTTGAACGGGGATCCTCTGGAAACGCAGGCAGTGCTCTTAACTTCTAAGGCATTTCTCATTCCTCAAACTTATTTTTTTTTTTAAAGGTTTATGTTACATGTTTGAAGTGTTTGCCTATGCATACATGTGCCACATGTGTGCCTGGTGCCTGGAGGCCAGAAGAGGGTTTGGATTTCCTGGAACTGGATTTAGATGTTTGTGAACTGCCATGCTATGCTGGGAACTGAGCCTGGGTCCCTCTGTAAGAGCAGAAAGTGCTCTTAAAGGCTGAACCATCTCGCCGGGCGGTGGTGGTGCATGCCTTTAATCCCAGCACTCCAGGAGGCAGAGGCAGGAGGATCTCTGTGAGTTCGAGACCAGCCTGGTCTACAAGAGCTAGTTCCAGGACAGCCTCCAAAGCCACAGGGAAACCCTGTCTCAAAAAACCAAAAGAGGCTGAGCCACCTCTGCAGCCCCTTAGAAGTTTAAATTTCAGCTTTGAGTCTGGTATCTAAAGACTCAGTCACTCTCAGTCTGTGAGAAGTTTTGGAAGAAATATAATTAGATTATCTGTCAGTTCTACAATGAATAAAGAAGGACTGCAAGCGCTCCAGACTTAGTCATCAAGTCAGAGACCCCCAAACACCCCAGCTCCACCCCATACTGCCCCAGTTTCCCTCAGTGCTCTTCTCTGCCACCAACAAATGAGAGCTCATTCAGAAATAAGTCTTTTTTTTTCTACTATTCCCTCTAAGGCTCATCGAGTAAGTTGGAAGACAGAGCCAAGGGCAGTAATGTCTCAACCTCTAGACACAACAATCAATGCCATCTCATAAACTCACACAGAGTCTGCGCAAGGCAAGCCCTCTTTTTTTTCCTTTTTTTTTTAAATTTAAATTAGAAACAAGATTGTTTTATATGTCAATCCCAGTTCCCACTCCCTCCTGCCCTCCCCTACCACCCCCCAACTAAAACCCTACCTATCACATAACCTTTCTGCTCCCCAGGGAGGGTGAGGCCTTCCATAGCGGGTCTTCAGGGTCTGTCATATCCTTTGGGATACGACCCCATGTGTCTTGGCTCAGGGAGTATTCCTCTATGTGGAATGGGCTCCCAAAGTCCACACCTATGCTAGGGATAAGTACTGATCTACTACAGGAGGCCCCATGGATTTCCGAGGTCTCCTCACTGACACCCAATGTTCCCGGGGTCTGGATCAGTACTATGCTGGTTTCCCAGCTATCAGTCTGGGGACCAAGAGCTCCCCATTGTTCAGGTCAGCTGTTTCTGTGGGTTTCATCAGCCTGGTCTTGACCCCTTTGCTTATCACAAGGCAAGCCCTCTTAACCATCAGTTATGGGTGGTGGAGGGGATCATGGGACTCTAGCCCTTATCTCTGGGTAACTTGGGAGATTTGGTTAGAGTGTAATTGCCTTCAGTTATGTAGCCACTGGTGTACTTACCAGACTCCAAAAGGCAATTCCAATTCCAAGGCCACAGACATGGCCTGGTAAAACAAACCCAAAGGGACACAAACAAAACAGGAACCCCACACCTACCAACATGTGAGAATTGCAATTCACAACACAGAAACTTCGAGCAAACCGCCGACAGCCAGTTGCAGTGAAAATAGATAGGGTCACTTGGTACATTTATGTGACTAAAAGACCTGTGACTGTGCCACCTGCAGCCTCTGCTATACCTGATGGTTCCCGTGGGAGAGGGAAGGGGGCTGATGAGATGGGCCATAGTGTCTGGAATGTTGATGGTCAGGGGCGAGATGTGCGGTTGCACAGGCTTAACTGGCGACTCTGGCGCTTCTTGCTTCTCTCTCTTCTCACTGGATAGGGCTGTGAATGTTATCTTGATATTTGTGCTCGGAAACCTAAAAGTGCACCTGTAAAACAAAGATGGATGGTCAGTTTATGGCTGCTATTCACCAGAAGCCTGAGCGTCACCACAGAAACTGCAAGTGAGAATGTAGGCCCTTCCCACTTCAAAATCCAAGTCATTTCATAAGCCAAACCACAAGTAAGGTATTTCATAAGACTCTAGCTAGGCATAATGGCAAACACCTGTGAGCCAGCACTTGGAAGTTCAAGACCAACTCTAGCTAAACAGAAAGTTCAAGGGCAACCTGGGCTACACGAGACCTGTCCTTCACCCCAAATAGACAGAAGACAGGGAAAGAGAGTGTGAGAGACAGACAGACACACAGAGATAGTATTCAGACTAGTATAAGAAAATAGAAAGTGTTGGGCAGTAGTGGCACATGCCTTTAATCCTGCAGAGGCAGCCGGGCGTTGGTGGTGCACACCTTTAATCCCAACACTTGGGAGGCAGAGGCAGGTGGATCTCTGTGAGTTCGAGATCAACCTGGTCTACAAGAACTAGTTCCAGGACAGCTTCCAAAAGCCACAGAGAAACCCTGTCTTGGGGGAAGAAAAAAAAAAAAAAAAATCCTGCAGAGGCAGGTGGATCTCTGGGAGTTTGAGGCCAGTCTGGAGCATTGAGCTGATGGACCAAAGGGTTCACTAACATCTATTTTAGGTACAAGCCAGATCTTTATACCAACACAAAACCCCATGAAAATCAATCATATTTAAACAGTCTCTAAGTAGAAAAACAGTTTAAAATTACAGATGTCTTCTTTATAAAACAACTTCAAATGATTCATTAAACTGTTTTCTATAACATTACTTCCAACGGGTGGTGGTGGTACACGACTTTAATCCAGCACTCAGGAAACAGAAGCAAGTGGATCTCTGGGAGTTTGAGGCCAGCCTGGTCTACAGAGCCAGTACCAGGACAGCCAGGGCTATGCAAAGAAACCCTGTCTTGAAAAACAAACAAAACACAGTATTTCCAACCAATTTCTTGCAACCAACCCATTTCCCCTACAGTAAAGGGACAAATGTCCCTGCTCTCTGGGAAACCATTGCCTATTCTTGGAATTTCCTCAGTCAACTCCAGTGGAAACTATTTCCCATGGCACATTTCAAGTTTGAAACCAAATCCTTCTCCCTTAACTCTTTCATACTGACACCCATGATCTTGGGGTCTCATGAGTGCAGATTCCTCTAAAACAGCTACAGTCCTAGCAAACCCTCTAACAGTTTTGCCTGGGGATCTTCTCCTCCCACCCCTTTCTTCTTTCTTACCATGTAGCCCAGCTGTCCTAGGACCCTATGCAGACTAGGCTGTCCTTGAACTAACAGAGATCTTCATACCTCTGCCCTGGCCTCTGAACACTGGGGTTAAAGATGTGTGGAACTACCGGCTTTCTTCCCTGATTCTAATGCCTGTGATTACATCTATATTAAATCTCTCTCAGCTGGGCAGTGGTGGCGCACGCCTTTAATACCAACACTCGGGAGGCAGAGGCAAGCGGATCTCTGTGAATTTGAGACCAGCCTGGTCTACAAGAGCTAGTTCCAGGACAGGCTCCAAAGCCACAGAAAAACCCTGTCTCCAAAAACCAAAACCAAAACCAAACAAACAAACAAACAAACAAAAACCCTCTCTCTCTTTTTCTTATATGAATGGGTGTTCTGCCTGCATGTATGTCTGTACACTGTGTGAGTGCCTGGTGCCCATGGAGGCCAGAAGAGGGCATCAGATCACCTAGAACTGGAGTTACAGATAGTTGCAGGCCACCATGAGAGAACTGAATCTGGGTCCTCTGCAAGAGCAGCCAGTGCTTTTTAACTTAAAACCTGTCCTTAACTTTCGATTCTGAAGCTGATGTCACAGTCCACACCTGCAATCCCAGCACTTCAGGCATGGAAACAGGAGGACCAAAGTCAGTCTTAGCTACACAAGCCCTGTGTCAAAAACCCAAAAAGGGTAAATTTATAAAGAGAAAAATTCCTCTTTCTAGGCTAAAGAAATTTGTAAGAAAAAAGTAAAGGAAAACTTCCAAAGAGTCAATGAATACTTTCACTACCAATTGTGTCAGTGGCCTCTTAGGAATTAAACAAACATTGAAACTTGGTAATTAGTGGCCCTTAGTTAGAGCATCCACACACAGAATGAATGAATGAAACATTGGTGTAGTTCATTTCCACAGGTGGACTTGCCTCTGTGCACACCTACCAGTGAACCTTGATTCCAAAGACTCTCATGACCTGGTGCAGTGTCCCAGTGGCTTGTGATGAGAGGGTTTTTTTTTTCTGAGTTTCTTTACACAACCAACTTTGTATCAATAATTTTGTCCCTAAAGACTGAGAAGAGCTCTACACCCACTGTCTGACAATTTGCTGTTGGAAACGCAGGCTCAATGGTGGTACAGGCCTGTAATGCCAGCTACTCAGAAAGCAGAGAAAGTATCACAAGCTCAAAGCCTGCCTGGGCAATAGAGTGAGAACACATTTCAAAATACAAAGTAAAAAGGTAAGGATTAGTTCAGTGATAGTGTGTGTGTGTACAGCATGTATGAGGCCCTAGCTTCAACCCAGTAAGAAAAGAGAAGAAACAAAAAAGGGCAACGGGAGAACAAGTGCAGGAGCAGATAGGAGCTGATGACATCCATCATGACACAGACATCGAGCAAAAGGAGAATGGGCCCACAAACGGTTCTTCCATGCAACAGAATGCCACTAACTGAGTGCAAAGGAAAACCACTCATGCAAGTAACAGAGATGCATCACAAAAACATCATTCAAAGCAAGTCAACATGAGTTTGTTCCATGTAATTGCATTTGATGAAATCCTGACACTCATACACCTCATCTAGGAAAACACAGCAGGGACTGCCTGGGATTCCACGGGAAGATGATGCCTGCAATTCTGAGGTTAAAGTCGATGCTCTGTTCTCCAGCCTGAGATGGACACTGCTAGCATGTATGAGCTTCAACCAAACTCTTTGAAAGGCTCCCAAAAATTAGGTTTGTTCTGTTCTATATAAAGTACACTTCAAAGAAAGCTTACTGGGGCTGGAGAGATGGCTCAGGGGTTAAGAGCATTGACTGTTCTTCCAGAGGTTCTGAGTTCAATTCCCAGCAACCACATGGTGACTCACAACCATCTGTTATGTGATCTGGTGCCCTTTTCTGGCACGCACTGTACACATGATAAATAAATAAATCTAAAAAAAAAAAAAAAAGACAAAAAAAAAAGAAAAGAAAGCTTTCTTAAAATAGCAACCAACCAAGTCAGGACAGCTTCTGGGGCCTGATCATCTGAATTTGGACCCCAGAACCCAGGGAGAAAGTAAAGTACAAACTCCTGAAAATTGTCCTCTGACCGCCCCCACACGTTCTGTGAAAAATATGCATACTCACAGACACACAACAATAATTACATTTAAAACAACAAACAAAACACAATTGTGTCCTTTTCCCCTAACCCTGAAAATCATACTGACTGCATTTTAGGGTGTACACACTTAACTCTGAAGTGACACACTGGACAAAGTGTTACCTGTAAGGGTCTGAGCAAAATGAGTATAATGCCTAGGGGGTGTTTTTTTCTAATCACAAAGTTGAATTACAAAGCACTAAAGAGTTTTTACACACTTGACTTTGGGTAAAGTATTTCATTACCAGGACTCTTGATAACTCCACCTACTCAGGCACCTGGGTGACAAATGTCGCAAGCCCACCTACATATGCCTCATTCCCAACACTTCACATCACGTCTGCACGAAAAAGTGTCAGTGGAGTGGCTAATAAGCACATGAAAAGATCTTCAAAGCTATCAGCCAGCAGGGGAATGCAAACTTCAGCTTCAGTTTACAGCATCTTTTCTCCCTCCAACATGGCTATAACCATAAAAGGTAAATGCATGCACCACCCTCAGTCAGGAAACAAAGAGTTAAGAAGCAAACCCAGCAGGAACATACATGAGTTCACTCATACACATTAAAATAAAATAAAATAAAATAAAATTGAACAACATCCTTTATCTGGGTGTGGTGGTGTATTCCTTTAATACTAGCACACGGAAGGCAGAGGCAGATGGATTATCTGTGAATTCCAGGCTAGCCTGGTCTACATTGCACGTTTTAGGCCAGCCAAAGCTACACAGTGAGACCCTGACTCAAAAGAAGCAAAACAATTCTTTCTTGGAGGCAGGAAGGAGGGTGACTGAGAATTCCACACCAGCCAGGGAGGGCTACATAGTGATACCCTGTTTCAAAGGAACAAAAACAGTCAGGCTTAGCTACATAGTTCCACACACTTGTAATCTTAATATTTGGAAGCTGAGACAGGACTACCAAGAATTCAAGGCCAGCATGAACCTATAAGATGTACCAAGATGGTCTGATCTACAGAATGGTACTTAATCCCAAATAATAGGCAAATAAATAAATACTAACAATAATAAAAATAAATTTTTTGAATAAATAAATTTTGAAGAAAGCTTCCCAACTTAAAATCTAGGTATGGTGGTATGTGCCTATAATTGTGACAGTCATGAGAGTGAAACAGAAGGGTCAGGAGTTCAAAATCATCCTGGGCTACATGTTATAGTCTAGGTCAGTTATCCTGGGCTACTTGTTATAGTCTAGGTCAGTCAGCCTGGGCTACATGAGATCTTTTCTCACAGACTAAAAAAAAAGGACTTGGGAATATTCACAGCAGCATTATCCATAATAGCTCAAATAAAACTATTTTATGTATTCATCTGAACTAGAATGAATTTTACATTTCACATTCTTAAAAGCTTTACAGAAATGAGTGGTGGTACCGGCAGTGGTGGTACACACCTTTAATCCCAACACTTGGCAGGCAGAGGCAGAGGCAGAGGCAGAGAGATCTCTGTGAGTTCAAAGACAGCCTGGTCTACAGAGCAAGCTCCAGGACAGCCAAGATTACACAGAGAAACCCTGCCTCGAAACAAACAAAACAAAAAGGCTTTACAGAAATGAAATGAACCACAGTTAAAGATACAGACTAATTTCATAAGCATACTATTCAAA